CAAGATTGATGATCTGTGCTAAATCACTCTAATACATAATATAAACACAGGGGAGGCTGAAACCAGGTTTTCGATCAAATGCTGCCATTTGTAGTCAAACGTTGCCAACAGTTGCTCTCGTCCAATGAAATCGATGCATTTTGCAAGTCAGTATGCATAACTGAATTACATATATTCATATGCGGAGCTTGGCTTACACATTACATAATGCAGCGATTTCATTGGACGAGAGCAACTTTTGGCGACGTTTGACTACACATGGCAGCGTTTGATCTAAAACCTGGTTTTAGTAGAGGCTCTTACGGGCAAAAAGACGTGTTTTCTGCTACGAGTTTAGAGACCTAACCGCTAATTGGACACAATAGTATGATGTCTAAGGATCGATAATATGTTAAGAAGTATAAATTTGGCCTTATTAGTCACGTGCTATACCAATGCGCGTTTTAAACTTTGACAGTCTATTACTCTAAGGCAAATAGAGTAATTATATTCATATTTTGTCAGCAATAAGATCACATTATTTTCTATTTAGTGTGAAAATATGAGCTAGAACGGACATAATCTCGCTGAGTTATAGCTGTTTGAAATTTATGATGAACGCGCGGGTGCCAATTGATAACAACTAAATGCTTTTGCGCGTAGTGCGCGTCGAAAATTTGGCAAAAACGCTTGCGGAGTGAAAATATTCAAACTTCGATAAAGTATATGAAGTGGGTACTTCTCGGAAAGGAAAAATTTAGGCAAACACGATGTGACTATTTTTGGGTTGATTTAATACAACTGCAAAAAATTATTCAAACTTCAAGCAAAAAAGTCAAAATTTTTACCACTTTTTTGGATTTTTACCTCAGAACAAATAGAGGGATTTGTTTTATTTTTATACAATCTTGTGCGGCTGTCTTTTAGCTATCTTTATGCAAGTTTTGCCGACATGCCAACAAAATTAACTTGCTCAAAATATCAAAAAACATGGTTTTTTGGCCTATTTTTGGCCCAAAAATCGGTTTTTTGCGATTTTACCCCAGAACAATCAGTCCAATCATCTTGAAACCACTTTCAATCGATTCTACGGTCAAAAATACGTCTAGTAAGGTGTATCTGGGGTCCCTAACGTATCGAGCAGACAATGCCCGTAAGAGCCTCTACTATTTCAGCTCCCCCTGTGTATACAGTCGATCTTCGAGATTGTTCTAAAAGCGCCCCCGACAGTTGAAACCAACTTCAATCGATGTATTTTCGGACGCTGATTCCGAATCACCCGGCCCCCCATGACATGGGGTTAAAATGCTCCCCTGATCGAGATATTCAATAATGGCGAAAATTCTGTCTCGATCACGTAATATGACCATAATATCAAATATAGTAAAAGAAAGTTAGTTTAATTTCTTGTGAGGGTTAGGGTTTCAGCATATGCTTTTGTTAAGGATTGGGTTAGGCATCAGGGTCAGGGTTGAGATCAGATTTGAGGGTTAGGGTTTCGAATAGTTGTTCAGGACCAGCTAGAGAACGAGTTGAAAAAGTACGTGACAGTCGAGTGTAGAGTGATTAATCATATGCATAATCCCGAAATTACATCGATCGAAATTGGTTTCAACTGTCGTGTGTCGGGGCCCTTTTATTTATGGTTTAGATCAATCTCGAAGATCGACTGTAGAGCATTAAGTGATTTAGCACGCTCGAAGGTTGACCATTGTTAATGATATGGCCCGGCGCGCGCTACTTCGTAGCTCGTGCCGTCTGGCCATAACATTTAGAGAAGAGAGCGGCGCGCGCTACTTCGAAGAAATTTAGATGAGTAACATCCGTCAAGACCGTCAACGTCCGACGAGTCCAATCTACAATCTCCCTGGCCCTAATTTTCCTGGGGAGGAAAAGTTATTTTTACAAAGCGACACTATCACTTTATTGTCTATTGTTAATGGACTAGCCCGGCGCGCGCTATTTCGTAGCACGTGCCTCGGAACATTTCGAGAGGGCGGCGCGCGCTATACTTCGAAGAAATTTAGACGAGTAACATCCGTCAATCATATTTGTCATACGTTGTATGACCCGCCGCGCACGAGTTCGCGCCTCCCCCTGTATCGTAGAAACTTTACTAACTCTACACTATAGTGAAACGACCGTGGGGGGTCACGACGTGATACGAAATCATGTTACTAAAAACTGATAGTATTTATTTCTTTTACTTTCAAAGTTAGGCCCGTGCCAGTAAGGTTTCATAAATAAAACGTTACTCTATTCAGCATTCAGAGCCCTTGCGCTTGCACTGGCGCGCTCCCGCCTCCTTACTGGTGAAACAATTGACGGATGTTACTCGCTGCTTTCTTCTCGAAATAGCCCGATGGCAAGTGCTATGAAGTAGCGCGCGCCGGGCCAAACCATTAACAATGGTTAAATGAAACAAGCGCGCCTGCACGCTTGTTTCACACCTTAGTTTTTTATATAAAAAAGAATTTGTTGGATTTATATCATTATGTTGTATGTGCGAAGTTTTTTTAAAAAGCAAAATTTTTTGAGGATCGGGAATTTTACGCTGCGCACTCGTCCTGAGCATCAAATTAAATCAACATCTTAAATACAAATTGAAAAGGCGACTTTATCAGTTATCATTGTGCAGGTAAAGTGTATTAGATTTTATTAATTAATAAAATTGAATTTAATAAATTATTAATGTTGATGCAAAAATATATTTATTTAAATTATTTTTCTATTGAGTGCAATAACAAATAATATTTTGTAGACACTTGTGATGATGTTATGTCATAATCTTAACTTACTTACTTACTTACGCTTAATTATTCGTTTCTTCGTTCTTTTTGTCAGGTTGATTTCTATTTTTACTATCCCTGTACACTCTAAATGGCATATAGATGATATCGGGGCTACAAAATTCTGTGCAAACTCATAATATATCTTATATTACACTGACTAGTATTAACTGGTATCTTCTCAGTTGAGACATGAGAGAGAAGACAATTTTTCATTGGCTTAGCACTTCAGCGACGTTTGGCTAATTTTTACGTTGCGCCATTAACTGTAATCGATGATACTATATCTACTTAACTCATCTACTTCTCATCATACTTAACTATATTATGTGTATATTGTTTATTAAATCTAGTACATTATCTTTAGTATATAATTCACCTAACCATGTACTTTCGCGGCACTGGGCGCGCATGTTTCACAAGTTAAGAAACCGCTGGATCGGCGGGCGCATGCTACTACAAGCGCAAGGGCTCTGGATAGAGCAAGTATATAACAATGTGTGTGTGATGAATGTATATCCTTCACATTCTACACCCCTAACACAGGTATTCTACACCTTATCACTCACTCACCCATTTGCCGACCCAATATCTATTGAAGTGGCGAGGGGTTTCTAGACGAAAAACATATCGATATTATTATACAGGGTGAGAATCCTTGTCAGGTTTTGCTTGTTCTTCCAGGGCTTATGTCTGTCCGCATTGCACTTTGTGGCGAGGCAGCATTAGTGTCAAAAAAGAATCTTATTTCTAACTCCTTATGCGGTATATGAACAGCTCCTCTGGAGAACATATAACTGCAACATGCCGCCGTGGGCCTTTCACGACTTTCAATATTCCTATCCTAGGATAGAGGCCAGCTAATCGGCTTAATAGATAGCACTAAACCGGACAACCGGACCGCGAATTAACAAGAACAAAGCGACATCTCAAACGACGAAGATAAGGCATCAATCGGCGTAGGGCGCCAAGACAATCTTGTAGCAAAAGCTACACTTTTCTCACTAAAACCGGGAACGCGCGCACGCGCAAAATCTTATCAAACCTACTCACGACCACGTGACAGGCAACTCACGCATCCACACGCAATCAAGTCCTCTTTCTCGTACATTCCTGTACTCAGACACCTGTTCACCAAAGCGACTAACATAGCATCATAACAATACACAACCTCCTTGACCTCGCACCATATATTGTGCACCTCTTCCGAACCTCCTCACCACACCAGCGATCTGCCCAGCACCACCTTTGACAAACTAAGGAGCATGCCAATGGGGCGAGATCGGTCTCATTTCATAGTCACACGGGATCCATGGTAGTCAATCTTAATCTCAATAGGTAAAAATATAATATTAATCATAAGCTAAAATGTACTAATCGTTGTATTCTAAATGGGGAAAAGAAGAAACATTGTCAGTCAGTCGAGAAAATTGTCAGTCAGGCTATATGGCAGCTTTGTAGATGTTGTGACAATGCTAGTAGTGGTCCCAGGCTTGCGACTGGAATTGCGGTGTTAAATCGATTTAACGGTATACCAACGATCCACCTCCCACTAAGAAATTCAATCCTTAACTTAACTTTTACTGTTTTAAACTGATATGATGACATTAACTTAACTCATTTTGTTACATACTTCTTCTTAGTGTGGTGAATTGGGGTCCATAAATATAACAATACAAGCTGATAAACCAAAAAGAACAACTGGGGTAGGTGGGTAGCTCTGGTGGGTGCATAAACTTTACTGTCTGCTCTCTCCAAGATCAGCCTGCTTCTCCATTTTACTGTGAAGCATAATTTCTAGTTTTTATAAATACAATGCAAGTGCATGTTTACTAATCTTAATCTACTTAACAACTCAATAGCCCAAGTCACCATACCTGTAGTATATTCCTTGGTAATAGAATAACTTTAAAAGTTTTTCAAATTGTTGCTATAATTGATTTAAATAAAAATTTGTTGTTTTCTTGAATTTGTTGTTTTCTTGAAAAGTCCTCTTTTTGTTATGCATTTGATAAACATATGAGACAGGATACAGAAATTTCCTCCATACCCTGCTGTAAAAGCTGTGTTAAGTACTGCAGAGTTACGTCACTGTCTCTTAGATCAGTGAAATTTTCCAGAATGGATCAGATCTTGATATACACCATGCACATTGCACCTAGAACTGGTGTGTCAAAGGTATAACATTGTATTTCAGTATAGTTATTTTAAATGCATACCTTTCGTAGGCCAGAGAATGAATGATAATAACGAAACAACTGAGGTGTTTTCTGGTACATCCAGTGTAAAACGGATCATTGGTGTGTTTTCAGGTAAATTCACTGGCTTAACTTCAGGATTGAACTCTTCCAATAATATAAGAATACCTAGATGTAACATCCGATAAGGAACATTACTCACAACGTTGAACAGTTTCATTTACCTGAAAAGAGCAGTTTACGAGTTGTATTCACGAAATAATTAGAAATTTTGTTATGGGCCAACAGCATTCCAAAAATATTTTTAAATATCACAATCATGTTGTTAACAATTTGTGCAATTTAACATTCCAGGTAAAGGTGGAGTTGGGAAGAGCACAACTGTTGCGGTAATAGCTTTCAATCTCGCTCAAAGAGGATTCTCTGTTGGAGTCCTTGATGCTGACCTGTGTGGACCAAGTCTCTCTAAGATGATTGGACTGAAGGTTGTTCATATATTATTGCTATCAACTTATATACATTATACAACAATCAGTATAAATATATTATATATTGTACAATGTATTGTTAATTATAATGACCATTCTTTCATAACCGTACATCTTATAATAATCTCATTCTGAACTATTCAGGGAAACATCCACTCCTGTGATCAAGGTTGGGTTCCTTTAACTCAATCAGTTGGGGCTGGGAGAATATCGGCAGTATCCTTGTCTTATCTGGTTGAAAACCAGGATCAGGCGGTGATTTGGCGCGGTCCCAAGAAGACTGCTATGATAAAGCAATTTTTAGAGGATGTTTGCTGGGGATCACTTGACTTCTTGATTATTGACACACCGCCAGGTAATGTGAGGCAACATCTCTCTAACTACAGGAAATACAGTACACAACTCTTCTTTAGTTCTAAATTGTTTCACATTTAATTGTCCAATTTTATAAGAATTCCTTACAGGACACTGATTTGACGTGTTTTATCAGGTACATCAGATGAGCACATGGCTGTAATGGAATGTGTCCCTAACTGTTCCGTCATCCTCACTACCTCACCTCAGGTAACTAACATTGACGTCTGTATTATAAACCGCACAGAACCGTTGATGAGATTATATTACCACTATAAAAAGCTTTTCTTTTAACTTGTGGTTTTGAAGGACTCAAGTTTATTATTAACTTGCATCCGATCCTAATCACCCGAAGTCTGTGGGTACCTTTAAAACAGTTGAAGTTTGCAATAATAACACTACCCTACCCAGGCATTAGCCGCAGCAGATGTGTTGAGACAAGTGAGCTTCTGCAAGACGACCGGAGCTAATATACTAGGAATCATTGAGACACTGAGTGGGTTTGTGTGCCCGAACTGTTCAGACTGCAGTCTGTTATTTAACCAGGGTGGAGGTCAGAGACTGGCTGAACACTGCAAGTTAAAGTTCCTTGGCTCAGTGCCAATAGACCCTAACTTGTCAATATATTTGGATAGTGGGACTTTGTTGGAGAATAAGGACACTTGTGTTTCTTATCAGAGTTATAGTGAGATCGTTGATAAGGTATTAGATACTTTGGAAGTTAATTCAAGTATTAGGAATGCTGGATGAGAGTTACATATTACAGGATTATAATTTTCCATTTGAGATTATTCAATTCTATACAAGAAACTGTATTTGATAACCGGATATTATAGTCGGTAAGAACAGGAAACTAAAAGTGTGCTCATTTAATTTGTGAGTTTTATTTCCTGTCGCTGTCCCCTCGTGTAATAAGATAGTTTATAGAATTCCTGGACCAACAAGTTATCCTACCATAACTTACATACTTTAATGAGGTTTAGCAAAAAGTGTCAGGTACATTTTAAAGTGGATTGGATGATCTGTACGGGTTTATCTTGATACCGCATAGTTGCCGTTCCATGATATGTATTTAAATGAGGTTAGTGTCTGTTATTGTGTTTAAATGGAGCAAGATAATACAGCGCGAGCGGTGTGATTTAGTTTCAGTTTATTTATTTATTTCGAGCCCCTTGAAATTTATTGCTAAATGTCTCAATACTATCTTTGTTGCAATCATGTTTGATAGTTCGAACACCATTTCGGTCCTTGTTGCCTCAGCCTTTCTATGAGCTGCAAATGTAAAAGTTTGTGGGTTGCACCACGCTCAAAATTCATGAGTACTATTCAAAATTGTTTATTTCTACCTCTACTGTGAGTCACAGTAGAGGTCTGTGACATACTCGAGTGTAACGAGTTACGCACCTTACCGTCACAATGGTTCAACTGTTACATTCAGGGGGGTCCAACCGTTACATTCACCGTTACATTCACCGACTATGGATACTCAGTATTCAGTATTCACAATTATTATATATTACCGATTTAGTAGCAATAGTTACTGAACTTTTCACGGCTTCGTGCTCACTATTAGGCCTCTTTAAAAACACAACATTTCGCTTTGAAATTTATCACCGGCTCTAACACATCTCCTAAAGTTGTTTATTTCACAATTCTAAAGTTTAGAAACAGATATTTTATTTATAGCTTTACCCTAAATTATTCTAGCAAGATGGGTGATCGTCCTTTTATTGTCGGATTTTCCTTCGGAATTCTCCCTGTCATCCTCGCTTACTTCAAGGTTCGATGAATTATGTATTTTTATTTTTAGGGTAATACCGTTACTTTCACCTGTTCCAATTTCACAGCATCAAAAACTCTTGATTAATCTAGCCATTTAGGCTAAGTTTTGGAACATTCTCGAATGTTTAACAAGTATTTAAAATAATTATTCTCTATTATTTCCTCAGAAACATGAACAATATTTCAGGGTTGGCTGTGGTTTCCTGCCGAACTGACATGGGAGAATCAAGGTTTTCTGATACTGTGTGCTATTGTCACTTTTAGTAACTATCTGAACGAGTATCTCCAGTGGTACCCTCTCCAGTACAGGTAGATATAGGAGTTCTAAATAGGACCTCTAAATAGGACCTCTAAATAGGACCTCTAAATAGGACCTCTAAATAGGACCTCTAAATAGGACCTCTAAATAGGACCTCTAAATAGGACCTCTAAATAAGACCTCTAAATAGGACCTCTTAATAGGACCTCTAAATAGGTTATAGGACCTCTAAATAGGACCTCTAAATAGGACCTCTTAATTGGATCTGTAAATAGGACCTCTAAATAGGATCTCTAAATAGGACCTCTAAATAGGACCTCTAAATAGAACCTCTAAATAAATCCTCTAAGACTAAATACGTGTTTTTAGGATCTTGTTTAAGTGATCATAATAATGATCTCCAGTACAGGCAGGACCTATAAATAAATGGGTGTAGAATGTAGATAATGGGTGTAGATCTATTTGTATCGCTATTGAAATATATTTTAAGTTTAGATTTTTAATTAATTTACTGTATCATGTCATTTAGTTAGGGCAAGAATTGCTGTTTATGGGTCAATCTGTGAACAAATTCGTAACAAAGGTTTGTCTACAGGAATGTGTTGTCCATAGTCCCAGGAACCACCAAAAAAAACCGTCCAGCTGAAACTTTTGGGCAAAAATTTTTATAGTCATTTTTCTCCAGGAACCCATACGCCCCACCCCTAATATTGGTTATTCGGCTCCCGAAGGTCTTGACATCTCCATAGGGGGTGCAAAATGACCGCAATGGCCACATTATGGCAGGCGAATGATAGTTTCAGAACGATTGGGGCTTTATTTTTCGAAATAAATGGAATTTTTCGAAATTTTTCGAAATTTTATTGAAATTTCGAAAAAAAATACACCAAATTATTTTTAACGCTTATTTCAAATCTATTTAAAAACTCATCTACAAATAACAAATACAGTTAATCTAAAATGTGTATTCTCAGTAAATACCATGACAATTATTAATACACAGTTAATATTAATCAAAATTCGCTTGTTCTTCAGGTTCATCATGTCTAATGTTTGTGCAGTTCATACCATGGCATCGTCCACAAGCTGGCAAACAATTGAAGCCATATTTCCTACATGAACATCTGAAAGTCAAACAGGCCTGTTCCACATCGACAGAACAGTTACAACATATAAGGTTCAAAATAGACTCTGGAGCAATTACAGCTTTTGTTGCAACTGGTTCGTAAGTGCCACCAGGAGCCAATTTCCAGCCGTAGTCAAGGGGATTCAGACTGTCAGCGTTAAGCATGACCAGTTATGGTACTGTAAGTAAGCTCTAAGGATGTGTTTCGTTGCTGAAGCTATTGTTGGAGGTAGCCTATTCGGATTGAGACTCTTTTTTGCTACCATCCTATTGTATGCTAGGAATCTCAAAGCAGAAAGAGTCTTTTTCTTGTCACCATAAATGTACTGCAAGAAACAGAGGCCTGCCTCAATAATCTTTTCTTTTGACTCTCTCACCGAAAGTTATGTTGCCAACTGACCTTGCTCATCAAAGGTGAGAGCTTTCTTTAGCACTTTAACCTTGCTAAAACCAAACAGTCCACTGACGCTATCACAACCCGAAATACTATGAATTAGAAGAAGTATCTCCTTTTCTTTATGATCTAGATGACTTGATATTTCTTTGATTGAATATGTACCCTTCTCCGTTGTTAGATAAATATCATTGTGATGGTCACTGTTGAAATGATGTACTAATAGACTTGAACTATATCGGTATCCTCTGCGTTCAATTCAATATCGCCAAGGAATGACATTTCCAATGTTTTCTTTGCAATTAAAGTATCAGCATCGGTACAAGCTCTGATCACTTCAATACCATTTACAGTAAAAATGCTTGAGATAGGGTCGATCAGTTCTTTTTTGTTATTGTTGTTGCTCAGAAATGTTGTTTTTGTGACAGTACAAAAGGTGGATTTCTTTACAGCAATATTAGCACAGAACGCTTTTACTCTCCTCTTGTGCTCGTGATCTTTAGTAGAAGGCTCATATCCATCAAAAATCACAGTAACTTCCCGATTTTTAGGGATAAGCTTCAAGTACTCCATTGCTACCTCACCATAATTGTCACACCCTTAAAATGAGCTTAGTTGGTGAATTAGCCAACCTCCATCAATGACTAGTGGGATCGTGAAGCTGCAAGATTTAAGTGTAGATTGGTTTATACCAAGAGCAGCCTTATTAGATTTCCTCATCAATCATCATCTGATATTGATCAAATAAGCTCATCGGCACCACAGTTAACTCGTATGTTAGGCATTCCTCTATTGAAGTCTCTCTATCAGCAACCAAGACTAGACGGTTAAAACACTTCAACGGATCGACTGCAACGCTTTTATTATTCACTTTAACCTGCTTTCTTAGTTGTGTCAAGTTCTTTGCTTTACCTTTGATACTTATCTTATCGATGAATGTCAACCCATCTAGCTCACGTTGAAGGACAGCCCCAACGGCCAAACATTCCTCGGGATTCACCTCATCGTTCCCAGGCTGTGATATAAGACCAGTTGAAAAAGATATTAACTTAGTCTTATCTTCGGATTCTGTAAAGTCGACAGTGACTTTAAACCAAGTTAATAATTTTCCAAATACATCACAGTTTTTCTTGATTGATGACTTGGTAAGATCTGAGTGGATGGCAGCTTTAGTTGGTACTCCTCGCTTCGATGAATTAGCTAATGAATCTCCAAAAGACTGATTTATTAAAGCCATCTGATTCAGGGTGGCCAACCATAACTTGTGAGCGGACTCACGATTACGCATCCTTCCACTTGTTAATCCACCACTAGATTTAGCTGCCCTCATAAGACTCTGCCCTATGGAGAGGTCAGTCCACACCCCGGCCCACTCGTGGTCGTTGTAACAAACCGTGTGAAGCCCAGTTACTTTAAAGGTCTTTAAAAGCGCCCCATACTTGACTTTATAAATAGCATCCTGCTCCAAATACAGTCTTAAAGCTTTTGCATACTGCCCCCTCCCAGCTGCTGCGAAGTAGGGCAGCATCAAAGCTACTGCTGATAAATGCATATTGTAGTCGTGCAACCTCTCTGCTCTTATGAAGTCCTTTACTAGTGTTATCATGTTGTGGTAAGTAACCCATAGAGCTGCTGTTCTACTGTTGGAAAACAGGTTCTTTAGAAGCAGAGTTATCTTCTCTGATAGATCCTGAATAGATTTAGTCTTAAAGTTAACACCTAGATTTTCGTTCACACTTTTGTTGATGTAACCTTCCAAGTCTACTAGTTCATCGTCGTAAACTTCTTCCTCTATAATGAAACAACAAAGAGCGGCGTCGATCAGAAAGTGGGCTCTCAACGCTTTATAGTAAGATCCTCCATCCGATATATGCGTGACGTCTCCAGGATACACGAGTTTGATGAGCTCCTCTAAACCCGAGTCTGCCATTATATAGCCTATGCAGCCAAGAAAACTCGTGAGAGTGTGGAAGCCCCCAACCCTGACCACAATAGGCATCCCAGTTTCCATTACTATTCGGGTGGCCTTAATCCACAATGGCAAATCGAATGTGATTATCATCGGCTCACTGTTATAGGATAACTTAAGACATTCAACCAGAGTAGTATGTACCGTCGAATAGCTGTCTGGGGGTTGGTCAATAATCTGTTGTTTGTTAGTTAACCTTGATATTTGTTAATTGAAGTTATTTCCCGAGTAAGATTTGAAATAAGCGTTAAAAATAATTTGGTGTATTTTTTTCGAAATTTCAATAAAATTTCGAAAAATTTCGAAAAATTCCATTTATTTCGAAAAATAAAGCCCCAATCGTTCTGAAACTATCATTCGCCTGCCATAATGTGGCCATTGCGGTCATTTTGCATCCCCTATGGAGATCTCAAGACCTTCGGGAGCCGAATAACCAATATTAGGGGTGGGGCGTATGGGTTCCTGGAGAAAAATGACTATAAAAATTTTTGCCCAAAAGTTTCAGCTGGACGGTTTTTTTTGGTGGTTCCTGGGACTATGGACAACACATTCCTGTAGACAAACCTTTGTTACGAATTTGTTCACAGAAAAATCAACTCTTGCCCTAACTAATTGTTAGTTCTGGTATATCAGTGCTTTCTTTCAATTCAATAATAAATGTTCCAACATTTATAACAACCACAATGCACAGTAACCACAGTAACCACAGTAACCACAGTAACCACAGTAACCACAGTAACCACAGCACATTAACCATGTAGTAACCACAGTAACCACACTCCACAGTAACCACAGCACATTAACCACAGTAACCACAGTAACACTAATGTTTCAGTAAGTTCGCTCCAGAAGGGGGGTGTCCCGCTAGAGTGGGCTGGTTCATCATGTACTCCACTCCCGCTGTAGCTTACGTTATTGTCTGGAACTACCTGGGAGCTCCCTCCAGGTCAGATTTACAGTGCTTTGGGAAATTTGACAGGATTAGTTTTTTAAGGAATATCGATAAAGCGTTATTTGTTCAGAGTAAGAAGTTTTCCAAATAACCAAGCTGTCCCCCCAGTTCGTACGATCTGCTGATGTTGGGTTTATACTGTACTCACTTCACTAAACGGTGTCTGGAGGTGCTATTTGTACACAAGTACAGTAAGGACTGCCTATTTCTAACTGTTATCGAGGTACGCTTCTCATCGCCTGTTTCTCACTTGTTTATCACTTGTTTCTCACTTGTTTCTCACTTGTTTCTCACTTGTTTCTCACTTGTTTTTCACTTGTTTCTCACTTGTTTCTCACTTATTTCTCACTTTTTCTCACTTTTTCTAACTTGTTTCTCAGTTGCGTTATAAACATTTCGTCCAGTCCCAGCATAAAACATTGAATTAACTGAACATTATCATGCTCCTGTTATTTGATACCTTACACTTAGTTTTTAGACGATACACACTGTGTTTAACCCTGCCTTTAACACTGCCAGACTGTGTAATAATACAGTACACACTACACGTGTTTGTTTCAGATAGCCTCTTTCTACTCGCTTGGAGCTGTGGTTACCGCATACTCTCTCCACAGACTCTCTGGACCTGACAGAAACTCTTTCCTTGACGATGAGGTTTGCTATAGTGGACACACTTCGAAAATATTTCAAGCCTATTAATATCGGATATAATTAAAAAAGAAGAAAATAAAAGGAAGATTGGATCTGATAGGTTGAGCAGATTGAAGCCTAAACCAGGTTTTGCAATGTACTTGTATCTAACTAAACCCACTCCCCTGCAGCTACGAGTTAAAGTAGGACTCTGTATCTGGGTAACAGGGCAGCTGATTAACCTGGTCCACCACTACATTCTCTCTACTCTCCGGTCCCCTGGGTCCTACAAGTACATTGTCCCTACTGGGGGGCTGTTCGGACTCATTGTCTGTCCTCAGTACTGCGGGTCAGTTAGAGTGTGTTTACCGAGTTGTTAATTAGAGTGTGTTTACAGTTAAATGTCTGATTAGCCCACGTCACTGCACACGTTGACTGTGCAGTGCCAATTGGGTGCTATGTAACTTGTGTAAGGTTGTGTACGCTAGGTGCGTGTAAGGGACATCTAATTTACTATTAAACACAGCTGGCCGGCAGAGAATTGAAAATATAAGGATTTTTTATGGATGAAAATCGAAGCGGAAAACCTTGTAACAGGGTTACAAAGTTTTTTAATAAGATAGGGCTATGTTTACGAGTACGCGAACAAGATTAAACTGGTTATATTATCATACTTAAGGGCAAATTGCTTTTAACCATTAGGGGACGATCGAGTTTAAAGTTTGCCGATTTTGATTGCCGTTAACACATAGGTCACTGTACAGCAAAAATAAGATATCAAAAGCTATTTGTATCTCGTTTACTTTAAAAGATACAGCTATGGTCGCATACGACCCACTCGTTCCGGGTCGCAAACGGCGGACCATCTCGGTTTTTCGGCTTTAACTTCTCGAAAAAATAGGAGTTAGTGATAAAATAAAAACTTTAGCATAAGTTAAAGAACATTTGATCAATACTGTGTGACTCTAACGTTTTAAAAATACAGATGTTGGGTCATTAAAGACCCACTCGGCTCCTTGCTTATTACTAATATGATACATGTAACTTCTTGAATTCAGCCTAAAGCGTGAACATCATCAGTTCAAAAGCGCTCTCAGCAAGTGATAATTCATCATAAACTGCGAAAAATTCGGTTAAATGGTCATTAGCGGACCCACTAGGACCAACAAAATCGATTAATTAAATATTAATGTTGTCAAACTTTTACAATTAGTAGTAATAGTATAAAAACATGTTATCATCTTGGTCATTACTCCTGTACGTTGATTTAATTCTATAATCGATCAAAATGGGTCACTAACGGCGACCACTCGGAAGTTTGTGAAAAAAAAAAAAAAAAAAAAAAAAAAAAAAATAAAAAAAAAAAAAAAAAACTAAAAAAAAAAAATAAAAAAATAAAAAATTAAAAATAAAAAAAAAAAAAAAAAAAATAAAAAAAAAAAAAAAAAAAAAAAAAAAAAAAAAAAAAAAAAAAAAAAAAAAAAAAAAAAAAAAAAAAAAAAAAAAAAAAAAAAAAAAAAAAAAAAAAAAAAAAAAAAATATATAAAAAAAATAAAAAAAAAAAAAAAAAAAAAAAAAAAAAAAAAGAAAAAAAAAAAAAAAAAAAAATAAAAAAAAAAAAAAAAAAAAAAAAAAACCACGACATTAATTATCAGTTCATGCTTGCTGTTCCACATCAAGAAAGAGTCAAAGACACTCGTAGGTCTTAATTTCCACGCACACCTCGGAGTGGCTGACTACTTAGCCCTTCCCAGAGAGATTGGAGGTTCACGGTATCTGCATATCAGTCACCAATATTGACGAGAATTAATGGGCAGTATTGGATTGATAGGTAGGTGTGTTTATTCAGCTGTTAGTACAGACCGTAATGTCGTGAGGGACAGCAAACATTATGCTATTTTTCCGATTCTAGCTTGTCCACGCTCAGAACTATACAACTGTGGATTCAGTTTCCAGATGGTGCATTACTCTTTCGCAGTCTCCCTTTTCTTTACTTCTTAGGGAGGCCGTTCATATATAGTAAATCATTATTGGACAAATTTTTAAGCCCCCCCCCCCCCCCCCACCATAGCGATTTGTAAAAATTACACAATGCGTATCATTCGGAAAATCCCTCCCTCTCGGCGATTACGTAATACTTTTTTTCGTTTTGAAAGCTGCCTCGTTGTGCGGGGTTTGTTTCCACAACAAAGGTGGTTGTCTGAGAGTATTGCAGGTTGCCAGCACCGCCTCCAAATGGGGGGGGGGGGGGGGGGGGGGGCGGGGGGGCAGGGGAGGGGCTTTAATTTTTTTCAGTCATTATTCACAGGAGCTGTAGCATTGATGCAGCTGTTGTTTAGTTATTTCTCGGGGGGGTTTTTTTTTTTTTTAACCATTTTTTTTTTTTAGGAATGAAAAAAAAAAAAAACTGCTTGGCTATGTGGATTAGATTATGCAATTTGACCACTCGTCTTTCAGTATTTAACCCGGGTTACAGTGATATCTCGTTATACCTTCGTTCAGGGGATTTTTTTGGAGTGACATGATTCTGTCACTTGGAGCCTTAAGCATTTATTTTGCTACACGTTGTATACCTCTCGTGCACGCGGCCGGTCGGCCGCGCTCAAAAGGGGTTACAGCGTGATGTGTCAAATATTTTTATATTATTAATATTAAGATATGAGATAATAAATTACATTTACAGTAAACACTAAACATGTTTCACAGTCGTTGCATTATATTAACAGTTAAATTTGGCGTTTGTGCTTTTGGCTTTGCAACAGCAAAAATAAACCCACTCAAATTAATTTTATACCTGTAGGGCATTTTTACAAGAATGTTTTTAAAATTTGGGCAGGCGATTAAGTGTTGTTATACGTTGTATGACCCGCCGCGCACGAGTGTGCGGCTCCCCCTGTATCGTAAAAACTCTAGACAGTGGGGATCACTACGTAATACAAATTAAGTGGAAGCAAACTAGTCGACTAAAAATTTTCAAAAAGATAGAGATTAATTTTAATAATTAAATTACAAAGTGAATAGTTTTTACTAGACCCAACCTGTATCATGATGTTGTCTATTGTTAATGGGCTAACAGTTGTCATACGTTGTTTGACCCACCGCGCACGTACAAGTGCGCGGCTCCCCTGTATCGTAAAAAATATAAAGAGGTTTCCACATAGAGTTAGTAAAACAACCATGGGAGTCATGACGTGATACAAGTAAGCCGTGCGCCATCGACCGTAAGGGGGGACTGTTGTGCAAAGAAACTGCTGCTCACTGCTGCTCACTGCTCACTGCTGCTCACTGCTGCTCACTGCACTGCTATGGAGGATCTTAACAACAATAAACTTTAACGGGTGTTACTCGTAAAATATCTGTTCCATATATATACAGGACCGTCGACGAGTCCAACTCGGCGCGCGTCCTGGTAGGTTGTAAACCTACAACAGTAAACTCAACCATATCTTCTAATTTGTGGGTAACTTCCTTGGATTTTTCACCAGGAACTTTCGCTAAATGAAAATCCCACACTAGGAACTCAACCTAGGCCTATCTCTGCATAGAGACATATCTCCCAGGCTTTGACCTAGCTCGGAAGTCCCTTGTCTGACCGCAGAAGTATTACAACGAAAGTGGGTTTGCTCTGAGCCAGGTAGCGACAGCTTCTAGACTCCAGGGGTCTGTTGCATTGATATTCATTATTTTATGATTTCGTATATACTTTGGGAGTCCTGGCGTGCAGCGAGCAGGACCTCCCTCTTAAAGTAAGAGGCCAGAAACTGTTGACCAGAACAGAGATATATATAGAGAGATATAGATAGAGAGAGAGAGAGAGAGAGAGAGAGAGAGAGAGAGAGAGAGAGAGAGAGAGAGAGAGAGAGAGAGAGAGAGAGAGAGAGAGAGAGAGACAGAGAGAGAGGGAGAGATAGAGAGAGAGAGACAGAGAGAGAGAGAGAGAGAGAGAGAGAGAGACAGAGAGAGAGAGAGAGAGAGAGAGAGAGAGAGAGAGAGAGAGAGAGAGAGAGAGAGAGAGAGAGAGAGAGAGAGAGAGAGAGAGAGAGAGAGAGAGAGAGAGAGAGAGAGAGAGAGAGAGAGAGAGAGAGAGAGAGCTGCTAACTGCTGCTATGGGCTCGCGCACGACAGCAGCAGTTAGCAGCAGTGAGCAGCAGTTAGCAGCAATTTCTTTGCACTGTACTATAGTCCCCTGTGTAAGACGCGCGTGCTGACCATTGAATGGTTTTTTAGCAAGCATATTTTGGCAAGCACAATATTTCGAAAACAATAAAAAAAGTTATAATACTTCCCATGCAATAATTTTGTTCAAATTTGGTCAGCATACGTAAACATTTATGTTTTACTGAATTCAAATTAGTTTGAGCAATTTCGATGGTCAAAATTTGAGTTATTAACGAATTTACACCTATTTTGTCATTTTGAGACCTCTTAATTCTCTTTAACGGGTGATACTCGTAAAATATCTGTTCCATATATTGGACCGTCGACGAGTCCAACTCGGCGCGCGTCCTGGTAGGTTGTAAACCTACAAAATTCTCTTAATCAATGTCAATCTCTCCCAACTAATTTAGGTTTGGTAGTTTAGTATGATTAAACTAGGTTCTGAAAAATTTTCAGCATGATTCATGTTGACGGATGTTACTCGTCTAAATTGCTTCGAAGTAGCGCCCGATGGCAAGTGCTACGAAGTAGCGCGCGCCGGGCCAGATCATTAACATTGGTCAAGATTATATTCATGTTCAAGAACCGAAGATATGACCGAATAATACGACAAAAATCAACAAATTTCGTCAAATTACTCGACTTTTACAACTAATTTTGCTCCAAAAGCCGCGCACTATCAAATATGGCACTTAGGAGAAACTCACTGATATAATTAGTTTTAGGAAATGTATTTGTTTAGTACTTCGAATCGAAAAGGTATTTTAATTGGATTTAGTTTTAGGGGACAAGTGATACAAGTTTATTATTAACAATAAATAAAGGGCTTTTACTAATTCGCTCGCCCAAAAATTATCACGTATCTTTGTTTCTTACGGTTTTTCAGCCGAACAAAGCGGTTTTACATAAACCCTGATCCGGATCCCAACTCTGATCTAACCCTAACCATAACCCCAAAGCTATCCACAACCCTTAGTCTAACCCTAACCCGAGCCCTAAACAATCGAATTCGTGTTTAACTAGCCTGTCACGTGACCAGAACAGTTTTTTGCCCATAACTCTCAGGGAAGCATTTTTACTTTAAATCATGGGGGTGGTTCAGAATCAGCTTCCAAAAATACACTGAACAAAAGTACTTTCATATCCTCATGGCCTTTTCACAAGAATTTTCTTAAAATTTGGGCGAGCAATTTAAGGGGAGCGTAACTAAAGTAAGTTCGAT